AATGTAATTTTCAAAGCGAAACGAAAATAGAGCCTGATCTCAGGTTAAATTTACATAGGCTAATTAGAACTAACTGTTGTTAACTGCGTGGTGTGACCGCAATGTCGAGCGAAAGCACTAACTACAGTTAGGTATGACGTCACGTAACTTGACACTAACTTAAGTTAAACTTTAGTTACGTCGTAGATGTGACCGCAGCCATTGTTTTTTTTTAATCCGATGAAGGTGTGAGCGTGCAAATAGCTAGTGCTTTGTTCTCTTAAATAAAAGGTCTTAATCATTGAATCATGGTAAAACAGAGACCGAAAATTCGGTTCAAATTTTATAATATTAAAACATACACATGTGTTTTCCATTTTAAAAAGATCTATCAGGAATAATATCAGAAAATAATAATTACGGCCCGAGGGATGTATATGGATTAATAACTCCGTTCTAGGTATTTATCTCATACACTTAGTGAAGTGAGAAGAGAGTAGGTGGCTTTTTTCCTTCCATCAGGTGCAATGAGACATTTCAGAGAGGACTGTAATGACACACTGGTTTTTATTAGTAAAAGCGCGAAAGTAATGCATATAACAGGCTGAAAATTAAACTGAACTACGTTTAAGTCATGCAGGCATAAAAACATCAAAAGGATACTGCTAATCCTTCATCACACCAAGTCATTGCCTGTTCAAACAAGCCTAACTTTGCAGAGGCCTTAGCTCCTGAAATAATGTCATACATGTATAAGAATAATATAATTATATTTAGATCATGTTCAGGTGTTAACTGTCCTCTCCCTTGTCCCTAAGATATAATTTTCAAACGAACAGAAATCGATCAAAAAAGTATGGTGAAGAACTTTGTAACTTTATTTAGAAAAAAGAGAGGTAAGACTCTCCCATGTCTCCCTTTACACCGTTAACATAACCATACTACTCTTACTGGCCCCAGTTGTTCAAAAGGTTGATAACACTATCCACTGGATAAATCTCTTACCAGGACTACCAATGGATAATCCAATTGGTTCCCCTGATACTTATCTAGTGGGTAGTGATTTTTCGGTGGATAGCGTTATCCAACGTTTGAACATTCGGGGCCCGATAATTAGCTATAATTACTTTATGTCATTGACCCGAACTCCAAATTTCACAATGTCTTCTACTTAGCTTTTCACCCTATAACATATAGATTTAGCCAGAGCAAAAACCAAAGCTCTCGTTAATACACTTATAATTATACTTGAAACAATGAGCTTGGAATAATTGCAAAGAAATCCACATATGACTTTTGATGGAGGGCCTCAGCAGTTTTAGAGTAAATAAGAATCATATTCACTCACAGATGTAGCCTTCGAAAAGAATTATTGCCCAAACTAAATCTCCCAATCGCTCACTTTTGTTAAGGTCATTGGTCAACTCCTTTATTTGATATGATAAACCCCATTTACAAGCGCAACTTTTAGGGGTACCGAAAAAGGATTTAGTGCAATCATTTTTGCTGCGGTTACAACCGAGGCGCATGCGTTGTTTTTACAAAAATGGTGTCCGCCAAATTTCCAAAGAATCGACAGCATCGTGGTCAAACGGTTATCATTAGCCCCCGAGGAAACTTGATGAAATTTACACAACGCAGTTTTGTTAAGCACTGCCTTTACAGATTAGGGTTAAGCACTGTTTCGGGTGGGGTTGATCCCATATGTACTTAAATTATTTCATTCTCATCCAGCAAATCCTCAGTGGTCCAGTGGTTAGCGTAGTATACTGGACTATCTGGGTCGTGGGTTCGAATCATGTCAACTTTTTTCTTTAAAACTGAAGAGACTTACACATTTTTGGCTTAAAGTATCATCTAAGTGTGATTTAAAAGCAGAAAACAGTTCTACCTTGTGTAAATTTCATGAGGGGAGAAAGGGGCTACGGCCGATGGGATCTAATGCTGACCTGGTCAAACAAGGTCACGGAAACGTTGCTATAATCATGAGCAGAAGAATGAAATTCCCATCGCTGCAAATTTTGTGCTTTGGTTCTTGTTTCGTCATATTTTTTTTAATGTGGTGACTTCTTTTGTCCTTCAATCGTTGGCGATGTACGGTGCATTTTGAACTTAAAATCTGACTGTCGCAGTTTTTATTTTTTCCGCCATTTCTAATGACGGTATAAATAGTATAAAATGGGTGCTAATGGAAAATTAGCACCTTTCCCACGCGAAGAAAACATTTCGAGTCGTATGAATAAGTAGTGCCGTGTCCAAAAGTCGCTAGTACCGAGCCAACAAATTTGTGGTGCCGTGCTGATTTTTTGCGCATGTAAATGGTCACTCAAGCATGTTAAAGACATGGCCTGAGGCTAATTTGCATAAAATCTTATAATGATCATAACTTTGTGAAAATTTATCAGAACCTTGGCAACCTAGGGAAAATCGGTAACCTTAATTTTCCTGTAACGTAAGAAACCAGATATCTGTGTCACGTGACCACTTTTGGTCGAGTCCAGGAAAGAAAAGAAATCTAAAATTGGGGTGGCGTGATGCCACAAAGTATATATTAAATACATAGAGGATATTACATGGCCGCGCGGAGATACGAAATTTCTCTTCGAGTGTTGCGGCCATGTAATGTTCTATTTATAACACCAATGAAATACCAAACCGTTTCAATGAAACAGTTTTTTCCTGCGAAAGGCGCGATTTATTGTGTGGCCATCGCAACGGTGATATTTTCACACGTGAAAATAACATGTTACTTTCACGTGTGAAAATATGTTTTCGCGCGAAAGCTCACCTGGTATTTCATTGGTGTTTATATAATAAAGTATTTTTTGTTATTGTATCATTATTTTTCGCTTGAATCTGGCCGTGATGGTTGACGCACGTTTTTATTTAATTGGTAATTAAGCAAAATAGGTCACGTGACACTTTTCACCTGTTAAAAACTTTTTAAGAAATTAAAAATTCCCCCCGTTCCGGCCACGGAAAAAATTCGTACGGTAAAACAAACATTTACACATGGTTCAAACTTACTTGTAATCAACCATTCCTGCCCCATTTTGAACTTCTTTTTGAATATCATTATGAAGTCACGTTTCACGCGACTACATCACTTCAACCCTAATTAATTCAACACCTCGAAAGAAAGTTTCTCGAAAGTTTTTTGCAACTTTTAAAATCAAAATGGATTTAATCACGTGGAAGGACCTTTATACTCGGTGAAACTCTGCAAACTGAAAAGTCAGGGGCGGGGGGCTTACAATTCAGCCTCGGGGAAATGCAGTGTTGAATGACTGAAACAATGGAACAGCGATTAGGATGAACATTTTTTATAAAGAATATATTAAAAAACATGAAATTTTAAATTGACGGTCCTCCTAATTTGCAAATAGTTGAAAAGTCAAAGATTTGACAAAATTTATCTTGCAGGAAAAGTTTGAAAAAAATTTCATCCTTATCCGAACACACAGAAACAGTTGAATGGTCTGAACCTTAATATTCTAAAACGAAATACGAAATTTTCTAAGCAAAAAAGCACCAAACCGCGGTCCATGTCATCATTTCACGAGGGAATGGGCGAAATGAGTCACAAGCAACAAAATTTACTTCTTACCAGTCTGCAATTTCGTAAAAATTATCAATGTCCATTACGTCGCTTTGTAGTTAGATTTAGCGACACTCTACTCAAGAAATTTTTTCCTCTTGTGTAGCGAAAACTTTCGTCCGGCCGGCCAATTTGGACTTTTGGTAAGCGAAAAGTAAATTTATACCGTGATCATGAGAAGCACTCTCGAGAGGTTTGTATGAAAAGTAATCACGTTTTTCAAAACAAGAAAGTATTTACCAAAAATATCGATCCATCTAAATCTTGAAAATAAAGAGCTATAGAATGATACGTTGTTGAAAATACTTTGAATACACGCCTGTTAATCTCATTTCATTCACCGCTGCATTTTGAGCACTAAAGAAATCCACAACCGCTGAAAACATCCTGCACAACATAAAGAATAAAAATGAAATGAAAAATTTACAACGACTGTTCAAGAAGGCAAGTATTGAGACTGAAGTGTTTCTTGAAATCCCTTTTAATTTAAAAACCTTATAGAGACCAAGGTCTCAAACACAAACATGCGAAAACTACGACCCACTTTATGACAGCAGTGTTTATCTGAGAAATTTGCCTTTTATTTCCTTTTTTGCATTATATTTCCTCGTTTTTGAGCTATGCACTAAACACTGCACTACTCTCTTCCAATCATGTTCAATAAATTTTTTCACGTATATTATTAGAAATCAAAACCTTACGAATGATAGTCCAGTAGTGCGGCTCCTAGCTCATAAACGACTTTTTGCCCAACTGATGGTATCATTTTTTTCTTCAATGTGATGAAAACCTCAATCATGAATGTAGTAAACACTACGATAAAAACAGCTTTCCGGGTCCGGTTAGCCTGCGTAGCAGGCGTTAAAAGGGGAAGGGGAAGGGGAAAATTGGGCGTTCAAAACACGGCCCTCCGAGGGAATTCGTCTTTTTGCGCAAAAAATTGGAATTGAGCCTGCGATCAAATAAAAGCCACTAACTGGTCGGTGGAAAACTTCAAAAACGTGTGACCTCTGTGAGTTGTAGTTGACATCTGAGCCAGCGATACGGTCATGTGATACTAGTCAGCAGATACCCTGTTTTGGCAGCTGTTAATTGACTTAACATGGATGTCTAAAATCAAATTAAATAGAGGTTTTAGGCTGCTAGCCCACCACACCGGCTAAAAAATGGCATTTCACATTGATTCGCCTGGTGCCCAAGGACGGACGGTACAAAATTTTCTTGGATGCGTAGTAAACCAAATTTTGTTACCCATGATGCACTGGAAAGCTCTACTACAGTTTGGAAATGAAAAATCGTGGCTGCTGCTGCTGAGTTTTTTTGTTAATGCAGCTGTTCCGAGAGCGCTTACTTTGTTATTAGAGTAGCGTGGAATTAAAGCCTATGAGTGTTTCTTAGAGTCTATGATCTTTTTGAAATTACCTGTTGTTATTGCTTTGATAAACAGTGGTCGTATGTCCTTGACAACTTTTGCATCTCTAAGTGAGCCACTGTAATTTCCTATGAGTGTTGCAAAAAAAGAAAAAACGCCGTGATAAAGGAATAAAAAACACATTCTCTAGTAACGACGCATTTTGTAATGACTTATGCATTTTGTAACAAAGGTTACGGTATTTTGTAACAACTTACGTATTTTGTAATAAGAACTGCGGTTTTTTTGCAATGAACCGGGTGCAGTTCCTCGAAGCAAGGTTTTCTTGTCTAAGAACATGCAACTCAAGCTTACAAAATACTGTCGGACTTCTGAAGGTGTATTAGGAATATTATTGAAATTGAAGGGGTCTTTAAATTTAAGCAAAATTAATAATATATTTTATTAAAACTAGCTAACTCGTTACTAATGATTAATATGGCTTACAAAATGGGTAACCTCCATTTATTAGAGTTAAAAATAAAAAGTACGAAAATGCTCTTCTTTCGTTCAAAAAGTCAAAAATATATTCTAAATAAAAAACTTAATTAAAAGCCCCAACTGGCAGGGGGCAGACAAGTTGTGTTTTACAAGCACGGTCGAGCAATCAGTGAACTTGGGGTTAGCGGGAAAAAAATCCAGCATGTGGAGCGGAGCACAAATTCGATACGTCAGGATTTCGAATACGAGGTACTGACCACTCGGCTGCTCTGCCCCTTCTACTTTTAAAATGAAAATAGCCTCACCTAAGTTAAGATGTGCAACTGCTCTGTTGCTGTACAGTTTAGCTTTGAGATCTTCATCCTTAGAGTTAACTTCAATTCCCTCAGTATAGAAGTAAACGGCATTGCTGTAATCTTTCTTTCTGTATGCTTCATTACCTTCGTTAAAGTAAACCTCAGCTATCGCTAGAGATGAATTAAATTGAGAAACTATTAATGTATATTACTACTCATTCAAAATAATTCCCCAATTCTGATTGGCTAAAAGCACACGCATAATTCACCATAACCAACTACTGATGACCAAATTTGGAAAAATTTTGCGATTAATCAACCGATGACGTCAAAAGTGCAGCTTTCTTGCAGATTAATGCACCGTTAACAGAGAAGACCTGGGGACGAGGTTGAGTTGTTTTGGTTGTGAAAACAAAAATGGCTGACATTTCACTCGTTCCAAGAGTAAGAACTAGGCGAAATAAAAAACATGGCAAGAACAGCAAGAAGACAACTTGAAGGGCGACATCTATTATTTGGAGAATATTTGCGGAGCTGAACAACCCTAAACGTGCACTATCGAAGATGAACTTAACAGCAATAGAGGTAAGCATGTTTTAGCTATGTTTTTAAACTAGGAATTATTTTGAATGAAAAATAGAACAATTATTGAATTCGGCTTTCGTATCATATAAAGAATTATGGAGATCTCGGAGGGTGTTATCAGTCGAGGCCGTAACACCCTCCTCGATCTCCATAATTCTTCATAAGATACTCAGCCTCATTCATTAATTGTTAAGTGAAGAAGGACACCATGTATTGTGACCCTTTTTGCCTCGTTGTGTTATTTGCTCAAATCTGTTGCATGTTAACTCGTAAACACCGATGAATTCCCTCGCTCAGTCAGACACCACTAATTTCCTGTGAGATTTGTTTAACTTAGCTGAACAGTTCACCTGTCAAAATCGTCCGTCTACGCAATTTGTAACAATGTCCTGACGCAAATTGTAATAATTCTATTTTTGCAAAAACAACATACAAACAACAGAGAAAACGAAAAAAGAAGGATATTAAAGTAATGGCAAGTACATCTCAAATCTTGCAAAGAACCTTTTTTCTATGGGCATTCGGGCCTTTCCTCGCGTGAATCATGATCTTGTCGGCCGCATTTTAGTATTTTGAGATTACAAGGTGGTCTTTCGTTAAAGTAGGGAAGGAGGAATGCAAAACAAGGCCCTATGATAGAGCGTCTGACTGTGTTGGAAGGCTGGTGAAGCCCCACACGTGCATTTCGTTCGAAATGAAACACTTATGAGAGGAGAATTGCGTCAAAATGATCTCACTATTACTGGGCCTGATTCGTTCGACTGAATTGACGACATGAAAGGTGCGTAAGAAATGATAATTGAAATTCACTTCTCAATGACCGGGTTTCGAATCTAAGCAAAATCCACCAAAACTGCCTAAATACGAGAACTAACGATTAATAATGTTTATTTAAAAAAACCAAACCAGGTTCGTTCACTTCGTTTATGAGGCACTAACACAACCTCGTTCTCAGCTCTCTCTTCTTTCTCGTTCCAGAGGAACCAGAGAATAAACAACAATTAACAGCAACAACAACAACAAAACGTAAGTATGTGGAACGAAACGATGTAAGAGTCAGTAATAATGGATCGTGTCGAATCTATTTTTTTAATTAACGCTTTTCTAAACAATTAAAATTTCTTGTGGCAGCATTCATGAACATGACTAAACTCGTCGATGTCGTCGATTCGTAAGGTTTACTTTTGTATTAAGGCCTCGTTGCTGCTAATTAAGTAACATTATTTTTTGTTTTCTCATTTGCTTTTATGTTGTTCTTGCAAAAACAAAATTATTACACTTTGCGTCAGGACATTGTTAAAAATTGCGTAAGTTATTACCAAAATGCGTCGTTATTACATAATGCAGAAGAACATCTTTCATGAAAGAATTTTTAAACAACTCGCAAAAATATGCAAGGAAATAAATCAAATCAATAAAACAGCAGAAACTTCACAAAATTTACACAACCCCCAAGACGCGAAAAGAAATCGAAATAGGCCGTTTTTTTAGCAGTTGTCCTTCATACGATAGACCCTCCAGCAGAAAGATATCTTTGTATCCTGAGCGCAGACGTCACCAAAGAAACACCAAATTTTTGCAAAACTGAAGCCAAGAATTGCTTTAATAATTATTTTTTGTTATGTTAGAAGCTAGACACTTTATACAGAGAGCTGCCGCGAAAGGCGACATTCATTTTTCAAGGCACAAGCTTTCGAAAAGGCTCATGCTGGGCTTTATTCTAGGATCGTAAGAGAATAAGAAAAATATGTCTGCTTTGGACATGTTAAAAGCTGATATGAATATCTTGGTAATGGTCTTTGTAGCCGTTACCTTACCTTTCAAAGTCTCGTCATCAAAACACAGCTTTTGCCCTACATCAGGTGATGTGACGTCACTCTCATTTGCTCCTTTACTTCCTCTCTGCGCCATGAATTCTGGATCGGGGAAAAAAACAAACTGAAATAAACTTAATATGCGTTTGCGGCTTCCTTTCAAACGTGAACAATTTTAAAACCGATAAAAGTCGCTCTCATTGTAAACACTGTAGTGGTTATTAACAACAACAACCCTTATTTACTTCACATACAAATGATAGCTAAAGAGACGTCCTTATTCGATGAAAAAGAAAAGTATGCTAGTTTCAAACACATCTCCATTTAATGGCTGCCTTCGCTTAACATACTTTATCGTTACCAAATTAACAACCCATAGTGTTCATCATCATCATGACGACGAAAATCCCCTGGGGAGTACTCCCTTACATTTGCCTTATGGGTATTGATCTGAAATAAGGTCTAGGGTCAGGATTTGGAGAGCCGGACAACACACCCCCACCACGAATTCCCAGGAATACCCCCCTGGATTACTTAGTTAATGACTGATAGCGTTCATTTTTTGACACAAAAATCCCGGGTTACTCCGTTATATTTGCCTTATAGGTATTGGTCTGAAATAGCGTCTAGGATCAGGATTGGGAGAGTCGGACGGCACACCCCCACCACGTATTTTATAAACTGGGCCAGCCTTCGGCCAGCCCAGTTAATAATGAACGAATATTAAGAGGAATGCAATTCCACGCCTTAGCCCAGTACAAGAAAACGACTTAATTCTCTGCTGTGTTCTGAAATTTTGTATGGCGAAAGTGTCAGCCTGAGAAAATCTACTGTTGTAATAATGTGTGTCAGAGACGAGAGTGACAAAACTAGAGATATTAAGGGGTGCTTTGTTATTAAATACGGCATGCATTATGATACAAATGGATTTAAAGTACAGAAAATTCAGCGAAAGAACATCATAGAGGTCAAATAAAAGGGGCAACATGAGATTTGGACGGTGCAAAATTGATGAGGCGAAGCGCACGCTTTTGTAGTATCAAGATCTTATTAAGATAAGATTAGATTGAACAGCTTGGACCCAAAGCGCTAGGCGATAGCTCATATAAGGTTGAATCAGAGATCTGTAAATATTAAGCAGAGTAGAAGAAGGAACAAAGTGCCTTAACCTCGACAAGATGCCAAGTGTTTTGCTGATTTTTGTTGCGATGTATGCAATACATATTTCCAAGATAGATTCGAAGCAAGAAAGACACCGAAGTGGTCTGGACATGGTCTCTATGATGTTCACATACGAATCAAGGCAGCAATCATAAATCTTTAGATCAACATTGTAATCAAGTTTTTTTTTATATAAGGACGAAATATGACAAAATTTTATTTGCTTATTTTTAAATATAGTTTGTTTGTTACGCTAGATTTTGGTTATTCTGTCTGATGTTATACAATCACAATAGCCATTACATTTATCAGTTTTGAATCCATGGATGCAAAACATTACACAGGAACTACAGTAAAGAAATTGAAGATGTCATACACGTAGATCTTTAATCAGCTACGTTTGCTACCCTCGATTTGCTAATCAACAAGACCCTATAAGTGACACAGCAGTCTTGGCTTTTAGTTTTCGCTTTCTCTCCTTCGGGCTCTTTTATCGCTTTTCTTGCCTTATTTTTTTTTCTTTTGTTGGGCATTTAGTAGGCTTCATTTTGGTGGGAAAAGTTTTTAGGAACGCTTTTAGGATTTTAGGATTCAATGAAAATAAAGGTAGCCTTGTAGCGGAACAAGATTTTCATGGCAATTTTCGAGTCAATGTTACATGGTTTTTTGCCTTTTTCTCCAGTGTCCTTGACTGAATTGTACTCATTCTGGTATTGTTTGAAAGATCTCTTCACTGTGCACACGTTAGTGGACAAAGTTGTCCTTGACCATTAAAACTGATGACGTCACAAGCGGGAGAAGGGACGTGGATCCGCACGGGCAGTTAAGGGGGGCCCTAAAAAGGTCACCTAGAATTTTCGGGAGCCTTTTTTTCTAGCCGAAATTTTCGAAAAGGTAAGTTTTGATCCCTATCATTTTCGGATCACTAGACTTTCAGCTAGGAAATCCGAATAGAGGTGACGTGAATATTTCAAACTCGATCAAGTCTAAAATATCAGGCATTTTTAGTCATAACAACAATATTTCCTTCTGACTTGGAACATTCATACATAGTGATACGTATTACCGGCTAAGTACACGAAAAGTTTTACAAAACTCGACGGGTGCTGCAGGGTGCCTCGGAGCAAAAGCTTCAGCCCCCAGTTCCCCGGCTCCGCTGTCTTTGTACTGAAAGCAGCGTCAAACGTCAATATATGTATTAAACACGTATCACCTAGGTCCCCCAAAATCGTATTCCTCGCCTTTCGTCTTTCGAGCCATTTGTTAAATCAGGAACGCCTGTTAAGGAAATATCTTCAATGGTAGGATTATTTTGACTACATATAATACTAGGTCACTAGGATATACTGGGGCCAAAACATGGGCTACTTAAGTATCAACTCACAACTGGACTAGTCCGTTTCGTAAAGCAAAGTTTGCAATTGCATCATCCTCGGGTGGAGGCCTTCAAATAAATTGACAACTCCAGATCGATGGGCATATCGTACTTGATATGCATGATAACCAGTGAGGAGAGCCTACTCTCGCCCATGGTACATCTCATGTAATTATTTGGCGTTCTCATTGTGCTGATTGAACGCTCGCACTCGCACGATGTCATTTGTGCCCATAAGACTTCGCCGACACTGTTAGCGTTTTCTTGTAGGGTAATTTAAACTGAACTTAAACACTCAAAGTTTGTTTTCCATTCCTCCACTATTACATTTTGTGTTTTTAGTCCTTCATCATTGGCCTGCAAAGGGGATTCGTTCGAACCCCTCGAACCCCGCCCCCCCTCCTACGCACCTGTAGAGGGCACATTACAGTGAGAACAAAGGTGTGAGGAGTAAATCTCAAGAATTTTCTTAAAAATTCAAGAGAAGCGGTGTCTGTTTCAACGATTTTTGACGAGCATTGACGAGCATTGTAGTCACTCGCGTGAGTGCTATAGAGATCCAAAAAGTTACCGAAGAAAATGCTGACGAAATGCTTTTTAAAACCCACACTGCATGCCAAGAAGAAGATGTCAAAACCCAAATGCTAAATGCCGTATGCCAAAAAACACATGCCAAAAACCAAATGCTAAAGACATGTGAACATGATCTATCAAGTAACCAACGCGCAGAGAAAGTTATGAAATATAAAAAAAAACTAAGGAGAAAAGTAAATATGTTACAGCCGGCCCAAGCAGTTTAAAACAAATGAATTTCAAAATGGAATGTTTCTCAAGCCTTCTAGTACTAGAAATACAGAGGTGATAATCTTCAACATTTGGTTGTCAATAATAACGAAACTCAATCGCGAAATTCAAGAGCAGTGGCACTTAACACCCATGCTCGTTTACGGTTCAATTCATCCATGAGCTCGCTCCTGGGAGCCTTTGATTTTCCTTACAGTTAAGCTTATACTTTTATCCTGAAACTGAGAGAAAGTGTACTCTAAAAAGATTGTAAAATCCATATTGAGGTGCCGGAAAACTATTAATTCATCGAAAATTTATTTTTGAGAGAAACAACTTTACAAAGAATGATCTCACGCCATAGCCTGCACAGCGCGCCGAGATGATAACAAAAACAACAACAACACTTAGCTCTTTTCCCTACTATCGGTTAACAAATTCAAAAGTTTTCTCTTAAATTTCCTTATAAAATACATGGTAAACGCTTCATCGTGTACTACTGAGTTATGGATGCACTCAGGAGACGTCTTGGCAGGATTGCAAAGCTCACAGCAACTCGAGGAATAGTTTATTGAAATCATCAACGTGCTCAATGGGAATATGTAGCACGCTCGCGCTTTTGAATTTGATTAGGCGAATTTTCTAGCTATGTTATAACACAGGATAATGTATGGGATAGAGAAGAGCCATCAGATGCAATGGGTCCTTATAAACAAATGGTACAAATTCTTAGAAACTTCTTATGCCAAAGCTAATGTGCCAGACTGGATTGATAAACTGCAGGCAGTAGTCCAGAGCCAGGAAGAAAGACATGATGAGCCTGTGGATGTAGAATCTGAAAATACCCGTGAAGAGTGGATGATATTATCTGATCTGCGCAGGCCATTTGAAAGCAATTCTTAAACAAATTTGCCCTGAACACATCATTGGCATCAGGACAGAGTCCACTATACTGAGCAACAAATTGGTCAAATGCCAACTTTGGTAAAAAGAAATAAAGACCTAACCAGTCAAACAATTCTGGAGCATTTTCAAAATGTTGACCTCAATAGCTTCAATGAAATGCAAAGCCTCACATATAAATTTGTGAAAGTACATTCTNGTACAAATTCTTAGAAACTTCTTATGCCAAAGCTAATGTGCCAGACTGGATTGATAAACTGCAGGCAGTAGTCCAGAGCCAGGAAGAAAGACATGATGAGCCTGTGGATGTAGAATCTGAAAATACCCGTGAAGAGTGGATGATATTATCTGATCTGCGCAGGCCATTTGAAAGCAATTCTTAAACAAATTTGCCCTGAACACATCATTGGCATCAGGACAGAGTCCACTATACTGAGCAACAAATTGGTCAAATGCCAACTTTGGTAAAAAGAAATAAAGACCTAACCAGTCAAACAATTCTGGAGCATTTTCAAAATGTTGACCTCAATAGCTTCAATGAAATGCAAAGCCTCACATATAAATTTGTGAAAGTACATTCTGAGGACATATCTGCTAACATAGAGCAACGTTTTCTTATTTTGATTAGTGGTGCAGGGACAGGCAAGAGGTAACTAATAAATGCCATTCGTAGCCTCTTGCAAAGTAAGTGTGCAGTTACTGCAACAACTGGCAAAGCCCCCTTTGGCATTAATGGAGTTACCATTCACTCCTTTTAAAGCTGCCAGTTGGGTGAAGAAGTAACATACACTGTAGAGCTCACAGGTCAGAAATTGTGCAGATTACAAGAAAGACTCTGTAAAATTGAGTACATTAGAATTGATGAGTACTCAATG